CCTTATGAGGCATTCTTACCGTTGCATTAATTTTTTTGATTTATATCATTTGGTCCGAATGAACCCAGTGATTTATCTTCAGACCATTTTCTTTGTTTGTTTTACTCTTGTTTCAATCAAAGATTTCTCTCCTTAAATCAGTCCCACAAGGCATTTATCGTACCATTTCATGTTAAGTAACTCATCTTTCTCCAATATGAATAGTGATTAAAGTAATCGTGGACATATTTGAACGTAAAAACAGTTGGCTTTCGTACGCTACCTTTTATAAACTTTAGCATCTGCTTTTCTTTTAATTTCCAGACAGTGGGGCAAAGAAATGTTCACTGAGCAGCTATGATTTAAAATCTGCGAGGAATAAAAAGGGAGCCAAGCAAAGTGATGCAGCTAATTCTTTGTCTGCAAATTCAGATAGTCAAAGCAAAAAATCTCCTTCGAAACCGAAATCGGATATTCAGAGTGATGCCAAAACTATAAAGCCACTTATAAAGCAATCTAGGCACTCTGAAAAATTGAAGCCAATCAATTTTAGTCCATCCCTTGCCCAGCCCTCTAATGCCGGAATGACTTCATCAACGTCTAATGATGCACTCAATTCTTCTGCAAAGAGTTTCCAGGCCTCTCGAGGCTCTATTGACACTGCCCACCGAGGTCTTGTTGGCCATGACAGTTCACCAAGACTGTCTCATTCTACCTCATCCTCTTCTAGAGATTCAGCCTCATGTTCCTCATCACCGTCGTCTAGTCTCAAGATTGGTCCATCTATTGACTCAGCAGCAGATAAATCTACTTTGTCCAGGGTAAAAGACAAGTGTGCTATTGCGGATGGACGTCGTTCACGTCGCTCTTTAAGACATTCAAATGAACAAGAAGCTGAGGCACTATCTGAAGCCATTAGAGATACTTCCAAAGCTCCTGACCAGACAAGGGGGACTAGCCAAAGCTCAGTGAGTTCGCATGATTCCTCTCGTAGCCGCAGTCATCATAGACGTTCTTGCCGACATCGTAAGCACTATGGACATAGTAAACGGCGTCGGGACACATCTTCTCGGGGTTCAGATGAAAAGTCGTCTCGTTCTAGAACTCGCTCCCATTCTCAATCGGAGTCTCGTTCCAATACTCATTCTCACGATTACTCATCCGGTTCATCAATTTCATCAAGCAGGAGCTACAGACGTAATGATAACTATCATACTCGTTCCCGTTCTCGCTCGCGCAGTCGCTCGAGATCGCGTTCTGCTTCTCGTTCAGCCACTCGTTCTCATTCTGGCTCTTCATACTCACGTTCTCGGCGTCACGACTCCAGAAGCAGTCATGATTCCAGACATCATCATAGGAAACACAGGCGCCATCGTCGCCACAGTCATTATCGTAGTCATCGCCATGGCCGTAGAAGACATGGAAGACATCGGCGAAGCTTCACTAATTCATCCCCGAGCTCTTCCTCTTCTAGATCTCGTCGTTCCTTTTCATCAAACTCTCATTCTTCTGCTTCGGATGATTCTCGCCGCTATTCGCATTCCCATAGTCGATCTCGATCTCGCCGATCTCGATCGCGGTCCCGCACTCGAACGCATACTCGTTCAGGCAGTCGTCGCAGTCGCTCTAATCGTGATAATCAATCACGATCATGGCGTAGCCCTCCATCCATTTCTTATCATCGTAAACAGCGTGCTACACGGTCTAGATCCGGTCCCACGAGCGGGAGGCGCTCTTCTAGTCCTGAGGCGCGCTCAGTCATTCCTCGTTCAAATGGAGGCCAACTTGTCAAATCTACTTATTCGTCAACCTCCAGTAGTGCTTCGGCCATAGCAAATCCATCAGTCTTGGATCGGTTGCCTTTGACTGGCAGACTCCATGCCACCTCTGGAGCGGTTGCCAATGTTGCATTAGCAGCAGTAAAGAAGGTTACAGCTTCTTCTGAAAGTGAGCTCTGCTATTTTTATTTTTAATTACATTCCTTAGCGTTGTTCATTTGAAATATTTAATATTTATATTCATTAGGATGATTTAACTATTTTTGTAAACCAGTTTAAGCCAATCACCTTGATTTATACCTTAGGTCTTCACTGGCTTATATTGGTTTGGTCTCTTGTATGCTATTTACCTATCTTTCCAATCCGCTAAATTATTTTGTTATCATTCCTCTTGTTTTCATGCTCTCAACCCTTCCATCTGTACGTGCTCTTTCATGTGCCCCTTTTTTGAATTTAAACTCGTTTTCAAAGGCTACATTTATCTCAGCCGCCATTTTCATATCAAAGTGCTATTTTTTAGCTGGCTTCTTACTTAACAGGTAATTGCTTTTCAAATTTACACAATATATGATCAAAAGATGCAAGATTTGCACTCGGATATTGTTTGTCCCTACGATACTAGAGCGTTTATTGGCTCCGCGCTCCTTTAGTGATCCAACGCTTTCCCTTTTTCTCTTGGGAATAGCTGTTTTTATAGACATTTCTTTACAAAGAAGCGATAGCCAAGTCATACTTTCGTCAAGATGGTTTCATTCAACTACGCATGCCATATCTATTTGATAAACGCACTGAACGTTGCATGCCCCATTCACTATATGGGCGTATCTGATTGTAAGTTTGTTTGATATTTAAGTAACACTATTCTAGGTTATATTTTGTTACTATATAACTGCATTTATCCTTTCCATATGCATAAGGTTTCTATACTAGAAAAGTTCTAACTATTACAGTATTGATGCTGCTTTTGGAAAATTTAAATGAAATTTGTATGCACGGTATTTGATATATTTTGGCTTTCCATGTTTTGCTGAGATGCATGCACCTCTCCTTTGTCGTTTTCATTTACTCACTTGCCTCTTCACCCTACTGAGTTATATTTAATGCTACCATAGTGTTCTGGGTTTGATTTAGTCACTTGGCTAAAACGTTGCTCTGTCTCCATTGCTCTCCTGTGCAAATACTCTGCTTCATACGTATCCATCTGTTCCACGTTTACTGTCAATTAGTAAAGTAACTGAGGAATGCCAAGTGCTCATAACGACCTTTAGATTCTCATAACCTTGAGACATTCAACTTTTGCTTCTACTGAGGCATAAGTCTACTTTATATAGATAGTGATAATTCGCTTTTATCTTACTTTCTCACCACTGATCACTTAAAGCCTTGTTTTCAAATATTCCTTGCCGATTAAGGCATCGAATTGCCTGCCTTCAACGTTGCATTTTTGTGCATTGGTTAATTTATTTCTTAATCTTATTTTTTACATTATAAAATCGTTTATTTAATATTATTCTTTTAAATTCTACCATTATTTAAAATGTCTTGCCTAATATTTTTGCGTAGTTTGCTGCCATGAAAGATTTGGGCATGTTCGTCGTTGAATTTTTTATTAAAGCCAATGCTTTTACTAAGGTAGATTATATGCTTAGAGATGGTCATAGTTATGATATTTTACTTCAGGTATAATCTTATTTCTTATTTCTAACAGCGTCTACATAGTTTAAATTAGTGATCCTATCGTTTATGCTTTCCTGAAGCTCCAACAATGCTTGTATAGATTTGATTTATGCCCAAAGTTAAAAGTTGCATTTATTTTATACTCATGAAAGTTTTTAGTAAGATTCCAAGGACTAGCAATTTACCTCTTTTTTTCATCTTTACTATCTGGTATTTTTATTATTTCATGCTTCAGAAAATATCAACTTTGTAATAGCTCAGGGCTCGATCATCTATTCATAGAGTGAATGAGCATTAACAATTAGGGTACGCATGTA